CCTTTTCCTACACAAAAAATAAAAGCTTTGGAAAATCCCACTCCCCTGGGGTAAAATTACCAGAGTATGGTATGTGTATTACCAGAGTAAGGTATGTGAAGTGCTGTTCCCTTGGTGCCTTTTCCATGCTATCTCTTCTTGGCCCTTTTCCTGTAGTAAATCTCACAGTCCGTTTCCATGTAGTAAATCCCACAGATGCTTGAGCAAAGGAGAACTGCTCTAATATTATTTTAAATTGTCAAGCATTTTTTCCTTGTATATTGATGTAGAAGCTGCTCTGCAGAGGCTTTTTGCAGACTGAAATTTTCCAGAAGCTGAGTGTTAGTAGGAAAGCTTACTATTGAAGTTATTTCCTACATCCCTTCCTAAGCTTCACTAATTGTGTGTCACATGTTTATCCCCACTTGTACCTGACTGGAAGAGAAGGAAATGTTTTGCAACTTTAGTCTCAGAGGATGAGCTGCTGACTTCCAAAGAAGGAAGTACTATGAGTGGAAAATGGATGCTATTCTTGAAATTTTTATGCCAAACCAGTTAAGGAAGAGCATGTAAGAACATTACACTGCATCAGGAGATACCTTACAATATTGTATTTGTTGGAATGAAAAGTAATGCACATAACCCAAAGGCTTCTCAAGGTTACAGTGATGAAATTGACTCTATATCAGTTTTACATCCATCTAAATGCTGGCTCCTTTTGTGTTGATAATTTTGGATTAATCTGTTGGCAGCATGCATGTCAAATTGAAATTCAGCCCCATTACTTCTATGTCATTGCTTTAACACTTTCATTACTTCTATGTCATTGCTTTTAACACTTATCATTCAACTTGCACTGTTCAGCCTTCTGCTGCTAGTCTCTCTTGCTTGTTAAGTTTTTGTCAAGATGTGCTGTAGAAGGCTTAAATGCCTCAGTCAAGGAAATACTGTGATTGTATATGCTACACTATATCTCTGAATTAATAACTTGGCTAGATTTTACCAGAGCTATTTTAGAATGGCTGCCAAGGGAGTTCCAGAAACCCAGTTCAGATGATCTCTGTGCTTGAAATAAAAGGAGTGATGTGCACTTGTATGGTCATATGTAAGGCTCTGTGTGCTCTGGTGAAATTCTGGCAGGAGGAAGAGTAGGAGAACAAAATCCTATGACCACTTCTGCAGAACAACATTAGTGATAGAACATTGCTGCTTGGTTTGGCAGCCTGCGATTAGCAAGTCAGGACTACAAAAGCAGATAAGGAAAAGACCTCAGTCACCAAGTGTAATTGTACTTTTTGAGGTATTGTATATGACAGTGGTCATCCTGTGGCAAGACTACAATTGGATTTCTTCTTGATATGTTAACTGATAGAAACAAACCCCACATTCTTGAAAAATTATTTATTCTTCCTAAAACAATAAACCCAGTCAGGTCTCAGCTGAATTTTATCTTAAAGTTATGTAAATGATACATATAGGCTCTTTTATTCTGCAGTGTGATTCAGAATGAAGATAATCTTCCATGTAGATTCTCTTTTTAACAACAAGTATATTGCAAAATAAATTTACCCTGTAAGTAAATGAACATTAAAAGTTAGCTATGCTGATGGAACGATTGGAAATAGTCTCATAAAAGTTTAAGGGTAGGGAAACAATGCAATGACATAACCATGACTCAAAACACATCTTTTATCTCTGCTTCTGCATCTGCTGCTACAACAAACACACTTGACATGCAACCAACTTTTCTTTTTTATGCTTTGGATTTTAGCAGTGATTTTTGTAGCACTGGTGTTGGGGCTCCTAGGTCAGGCATATAGTGAAAGCTTATGGGAAGCTGTACTGCTACTCATGGGCTTCAGGAACTTTTAAAAAGTTCTGTTTAAAAAATCTCTGTTAATACTCAACTGTGGAACCTAAACATTAAAATCCTTCTTCTTGTCACTATGCTGCCACTTGCATAGTGACAGCATGCACAATTATAAGTAGTATCTTTGGTAGTAAAAGCACCTGAACACCTGTCCAGTATTGGAAAGAGGAAGGTGACTTCTGATGAAGCTGACTAGAAGCAGGAATGGCACAAAGTTCCAGAGAAAGGTCAACTCAGGTATAGATAACTTATGTAAGCTTAGGGGAAAGATGGTAATGATAAAGTGGAGTTAACTTTGTTGCAAAATGATTGGTTTGTTCAGGTTGTCAAACAATTTATGGTAAATAAATTAATACATACATACAGATATTATCTGCACATTACCAATAAGGTTCTTTTGGGTTAAAATATATAGTCCAAAAATCTTTAAGTTAGCTGAGCAAGAAATAAACTAGGCTCTAATGTCTAACTCAAAGACTGATTATTTCTGAAAAACATATAAAACAGATGGTAGACAGGATCGTTACCCATCTGTCAATAAGGAAACAGAGACAGTATTGTTTAGGACACCTTCTAATGCTAGCAAAAGTACAAATGCCTAGGACTTTTGGAGATAAGGATCTGTATTTATTTCTCTTCAGATCATCACAGCCATATAAGCTCAAGTGTGAATTCTGTAAAAGTGGTCTCAGTGGTTAAAGGCATGCTGGTGTCCCTTATTCTCCAGTTAGGGATGTCACAGCAAGCCCCATATATGTCAGAAGAAAGGACAATGGGAAGTTGCTGGTCACTCTGGCAAGCAAAGACTGGAGAAGGAAAATTATCCTGTGTAACTTCATAGCTCAAGAAGGAATCATGCTCCTTGCACAAGCAGGACAAAGCTGGAGCAGAGTAAATCAGTCTCTAAAATTTGGAAGTGCTTAGCTAAAAATAGCTCTTCTCCTACACAGAATATATTAAAATTATAAAAATACCAGCATATTGAACTGAGGCATTATGCAACTGTAATTGAGGGATGATTATCTTTCCCAGTCACAAGAAATGAATGAGACTGATTCCATTGAGATCTAGAAGTTTTATGGCAAAGAAAGCTGAATGGAAAATATGCAAGTTTCCAACTTACACCTGTCAGCATACACATCCAGTTTAATCTAAAAAGGGGTCAGGTTTGCTGTGTACATGGAGTTGCTGTTGCAGTTTGCAAAGACTGTTATAGGATTTAAGTCATAGAAACCCTTTTTCTTCTGAGGTGATAGTTCTAGCCAGGAGACTACCTAGAAAAACACAGGGAGGAAAAAAAAACCTCAAAAACCAGTCCTTTGGGAATCTCCTCAGTAATTTTAGAAACCACTTCCAAACTAAGAGTTTTGGTGGCATAAAAGACATAAAATGCCAAGTGAGGAGATGTCTCTGAGGTATCCTAAGTAGTTAAGTAAAGTAAGATGGTTAAGTAACCACTGAGCAAAGATCTCTGTAGACTGTGTTTTTGCTTTGTTTTCTTTGAATGTTTGGTTCTAACTGGTTATTACTGGGTTTATTTTTATTTTCCAAGAAGGAAAATGAAGTTATATTCTTCCAGTGATAGATTCAGGAGGTAGAAAAGGGGTCCTACTTAATTTCAGACAGGATTGTTGAGTGCTACACTATGTACAGGTAAGAGAAGTGCAAATTTGTATTCTGAAATAGAGAAAGGAAAAAATCTAAAACCTTTTGAGATGTATTGAGGAAAACCAGGAAGATGTTCAGATAGCATCTAGGCTATAGTCGAGATAAAATTATTAAATAAAAAACAGCAGCTAAAGAATATGCTCTTATTATAAGAGGATGTTTCTAGTTGATTAGAGCAGTCAAAAAGGCCAAGTAAAAAGTTTCCTTGATGTTTTGAAAAACATAAAAGTTCTACTTATAATATGATCAATGAAAGTAAGAAATAAACGATCAAGAGGATTAGAGATTTCTGGTCACTGCATTGAAAATTTTTTGATGAGGAAATGTAGAGACTGGAAGCAGATGTGTTACAAGATGTCTTGAAGGAAGTGTGCTTTTACCTCAAGGAGCCTGTGTTTTCTCTTCTGGAGAGAGCTGCAGAAAGACCTTCTAAAAGGAGCTTTTCAGCACAATATAACGTGCATGGGGAAATCCTGTATTTCTGAAGCAACATTCTGAACTGGTTCCTGGTTCTGTTTTCTGCTGTCTTTCTTCTTCTCCCAAGGAACCTCTTTCTCTGCACAAAGCAAAGCTGCCCCTATAGCTTTTGTAGGATCTGATGTGCGAAAGCAGACTGTAATTTTATCATTCATGTAGAAAGTAAGCCAAATGAGCAAGAATGCTTAGGGGGATTAAGAACAGTAATGTTTTTCCATTTACCCTTCTTCTTTTTACTTTTTCTCTAAAGCTTAATATTATGTGAGAATCTCTACAACTTTGATGGACATTCTGTTACACCATAATAAGGCTTGAAAGTAGCACCTCTTTTACTGTAAAATCCTTGAACCTACTGTGTCACCCAGTCTCAAACATGTTTTCAGCAAAATATGCAATATGAGCAGTATTTTGGCTTAGACGTCCCCAAGAGCTGTAAAAATTAAAGAAATCCAATAATTACCTGCAAAATAATTTTACAACACATGATGTGCCGTTTTATTTTTAAGGGTTACTGTTAATTACAAAGTACTTCACAAGCATCACTTAATTTTTTACAGAAATCATTCTATGTGATGAGGAAAAATGAAAAATTCTTTGGTTTTGAAGCCTTTATTTTAGGGTCTCACCTTAAAATTTCTTCAAGGGATTTCTTTGTTCAGCCACCCCAAAATTCATTATTTGTTATGGGAGCTGCTGAAGGTTAAACTTGGTGTGAGCATTTGAAGGATTTAAAAGCATAGCATCCTGTAGATGAAATAGAGCAATAAAAAATTACATGATTACTGAATCAATATTATAGTTTCCTGTATGCTGAATTCCTTCATTTATGGTGAAAAATGATTGTCTGTTTACTTCTTATCTTCTGCAAATATCACACCTGTTTTTTCACCCCTCCTCTTGCCTCCTCCCTTTGAATCTCCTCCCCTGTGACAGAATCAATTGCCTCAGTGGGTATTATAAAAAGCTGAGTTTCCAGTGGATCTCCCATTCACCCACCTTAGCCACCATGGGGCTGAGAGCGGCCAGCCTCTTCCTCCTCTGGCTGGCTCTCTCCTCTGCTAATGAAATAAAAAAAGGTAAGCTCTAGAGATTAAATGGTTGCAGATTGCCTCCTGGAAAGGAGGGAGAGACTTAAAATATTGCTGCAGAGCTAGAGGGAGGCTGTGCATTTAAATAATGCTGTGGAGTTTTAGGATGCCTTAAATCACTTAAGCTTTCAAATATTGAGGCTGCATTGCTTGAACAAAACTGGTAGATCCTACTTATCCTACTTTCTTTGGAGAGATTAGTGCCTGTCTCTACTGCATTGATTTCTAGTTTGATGTGCTTGGAAAATATTTTCAGTGTTGCTTTTCTTTCTGTGCATTGAGTCTTTACTAGATATGGCAAGAAAGGAACTGTAAGGCAAGATAGGAACTGTAGGACTTTGAGAGGTTTATTGTTAAAGTAATGAAGGAAGTGGATGATTGTGTCTTCTGTTGCTTTGGAACAACATAAATTGTTCCTCAAAAATGAGTGTGATAACATTGAAAAAATTGAAAAAAGCTTATTTTGTCATTTAGGACATTTTAAACCCTTTTGCAAAAGCTCTAACTTACTGTATTTGCTATCAAGTTTGAAGTGATGAAATGGAGTGCTCGTACTGAAAACTGCTTTTTGGAGGAATTGTGTCCAGTGATCAAGTTTGGGCTATTGAGCTTGGTCTGCTGTGTCTTGAATTGAACAGTGGGAGGAAAACCTTACCTTGCATTTGGTCTTCCATCTGTGAGCTCTGGGAGGACCTCTGTGCAGCCTTCCTTCTGGGGAGGGATGTGTTCCAGCTTGGCTGGATGTATCTGGAATGACTGATACCATCAAAATACAGTAACCTAGGGATTTTCTTAGCAGTTTTGCATTCTCATGTTAAATGCTGCAAGAAAATCTTGTGGAATGTTAAGATTCCCAAGGATGCTCAGCTTTTATGATTCTCCCCTAATCTACAGTATCTGGAGATTGATCAGATATTGTTGTTAATTTACATTAACATTTTTTGTTGGTGTAGATGGTAGGGGAAGGAACAAATCATCTTCATATTTTGCTATTGCGAAAACTTTTTTTTCCCTCCTACCATGGCTATTTCTGACCTATCTTCTGAAACATTTCTGTCTTGCAGTAATAGAAATCACTACTGTTTTTAGGAAAATAAATATTTCACTGAAATCTCCTGTTATGCATAAGCCCTTTCATAACCTTTAAACTGTTGGCCTTCCAGAGTAGGTAGTACTTTCTTGATTTCCTACCTGTTTTGTTTCTAGTACATGTTGCACCAGGAAAGAAGATAGTTCTTGGAAAAATTTAATATTGACAAAAATCATACTGTGACTCAGAATAAAATCATATGTTTGGCACAGAAGCCAAGTTAGTGGTCAGTGTTAAGTTTCCCCACCTCATGCAGGTAAGTTCCTTCACCTCAGTGAAGATTATAGGATATACCCTGGTCTCAGAATTATTTATTAACATCTTAGTCTGCTTTTGAGACATTCCATATTTTCTGCTGACCTGGCAGATACTTGATCCCGCTTGAAATCCATGGAATCACTGTGAACAAAATTGCAGGTGGTTCCTACTGTAAAATTGAACATTTACCATTTTTCACACTAGATCGTTTCTTGCACTTCTTTTCATCTCTATTTCTTTTTCGTTACTTAACAGGAAGGACAAGAAGCCATGGCCACTATGTCTGCAGCACTTGGGGAAACAACCATTTCAAGACTTTTGATGGAGATGTCTACCAATTCCCTGGCACTTGCGAGTATAATTTTGTTTCTGACTGCCGGGAGGCTTACAAGGAATTCTCTGTCCACATCCAGCGTGCTCTCGACAGCAATGGCCATCCTGAGATCCAGTATATTCTGATGAAAGTCAAGGATATAATGGTCTACCTCAAACCCAACCTGGTTGTGGTGGATGGGCGGATGTAAGTTCCTTTACTATAATGGTATTCAGAGAAAGGTGCTGGGAAGATAAAAGCAGGATTGATTCTTTACACAACTGTGTGTACCATTACAGAAACTGCTGCAAAGCATTTCCACAGGACAAACAAACAAATAAACAAACAAAAAAGCCTTTTGAAATTCAACATTAAAATTGCTTTGACGAGCGGCTTTAGTAATAATTGTCATTTCTACACTGTCAAAAGGGATTCTTTAAATACAAGTCAGGAATAAGTTTGAGTGAATTGTTCTTCCACTTGTGCAGAAAATAGTGCAGCTCATGAGCCAGATTTTTCACTGGCTTAAAATGATGTCGCTTCATTTGTTTGATGGCATCATCTTGAGTTTACCTTAGCAGATGGTCTAGCAAATTCTTGAAAAGGAAATGCATTTCTCTGGGGTCTTCTCCTCTTGTTTTCTGACAGAAGAGAGGTAGTTTTTTCTGATCTTCATAAATAATTCTTAAAGATTTGATGGCATTCCTAAAGGGAGTTTAACAGATATAACACAGGTCAAAATTCACACTAATTTATCTGTGCCACTGTGTACTTTTGCAGACTAAGCAGTGTTATTTCTTTCCTCTTATAACATGATTACAGAAGAAACTCGTCTGACACCATTACTGATGCTAAGTAGCGTCTTAACCTAGTCTTTCCTGTCATTAGCTTATCCTTGTAGTATGTGCCTTTACACTCTGAAGCAAGTGAAGTAACTAATAAGTTAATTAGTATGTTTTAGCATAATTGAAAAAGCTTTTAATTGTCATTTGAGAACTTGGTTTTGCCCAGAATTCAGCTTTTGCTCTAAAGTTTGGAAGCCACTGCAATGAAAACATGTTCAAGGATTGAAAGTAACACTTAGTTTTCCAAAGATCATACGAGAATGCATAAGAAAATGACAGAATGCATAAGAAAATGACAGAAATTTAGAAAAAAATGCATTATTACCTCAAATTGAAAAAGCTCTTTATTGTGTACTCATGTCTTAAAAAGAACTCCATGAAAAACAAGTTAGAAGTACTTTTAAAACTGTTTCTGTTAAATGGAGCTATTTTTGTCTTAGATAGACTTTATTGTCATAAAACAACAGATCTCTGCCAAACTAGTTTTTGCAACTTGTAGAAATTTTTTTGGTAGAACTTAATTTTCCATATTACTCCTGAAATGATGAATTATCTGTTGTCATGTAAAATAGCATTTCACAGTGCTGAAGTGAAAACTGTAAAGTAGAAAAGTATATGGATTAGCCTTCAGGTACCTGAACCACTGCTTGATTGAATGTCCTACTATTAGAAAAAAAGATAAATATTCCATGCAGTGAAAGCTAAAAGCTGAGAAGATGTCCAACATTTTATGCTTCCCCTTAAGAAGCATAATCCCTCAAGATTTCTTTGTTTATTGATGAGCAATGCAGTCAAAAGCAGAAAAAATCATCTCTTGAGTTTGCACCTAGATGTGTAAGTCATTTGTGCATGTTAAAAAATGCCTGAGGTAAATAGCTGTAAAAACCCTAGTGACAGAAAATCAGGAGATAAAGCTCTCCCAGTCAAGAGACTAGTTAACAGATGTACATACACATGCATGAATCTTGATGGATAACAATTACATTGATAAATCTGTAGAAAATGAACCAGTTATTTTGACTGGACTCCAGTTTACATTACTTCTGTTTGAGCAGACTCTAGTTCTCTGGATTTTTTAGGATAAGACTGCCTGCCACAATTCTTTTATTGCTGAATAAAATTCAGCAGTTCAGTTTATTTGTAAGACAGACACAAATTGTTATCACACAAAAATATTTATGCTCAGCCCTCTGCAAAGTGTCTCCTGTTATCATTAACAAGCTCAGTCCTGTCCACTTAAAACTGATTAACTAACTACTGAAAGAGCTACTGAATTCCTCTTAACATGCTCCTTTCTTCTACAAATTTTGTTGGCAGTCCCTATAACTGCCTGTACATTCTGAACTCTCTCTTAAGGAGGCAGTTCCTTGCAATGGAACATAAATTCTCTCTGAAATGGTTATGAGATATTTTGGTAAAGAAACACTGTAAATTATGTTGTAGCTCCTTTCATTGATGTAAATTATTAGTAAGTGTTTGAATAACCTCTGTTAATACCACAATGATGATGGTTTTTCTTTGATTAATTTGAAGACATCTGACATTTTGGTATTTTTGAAGTTAAAGAGCCCAAAGTGTTGGGTAGGCTTTTCCTCTGAAATTGCTTTGCCTTTTAGATGAGTTTTTGCAATGAGTTATTGTCCTGAGTGTCAGAAAGAGAAGACTTTATGCCTCATTAAAACAAGGCATCCTGTGCAGTTAGAATGAGGTAGTCAGACTAGTTTCTCTATTCCTTGGGGTATTTGGCTTATTACAGACATTCATGTCAGCCCTTATGTTTCCTAAATAATGCAAAGTCTGTGATTTTCTTCCTAGTGTGAAGACACCTTACTACACCTCTGGTGTCCTCATTGAGAGCAATGAAATTTACACCAAGATTTATGCCAAATTAGGCATGGTTCTGATGTGGAACCAGCAGGATGCCCTGATGGTATGTATGATCAAAGTATTTTTAATTGGTATTTACTGGGTTTCCTGGGATATTTCTCGATCTCAGTAGGATCGAAAAAAGGGAGGGGGAAAAGGAAAAAGAAAAAGATAATTCTTTTATGTTTTTCCTTTTTGTTATTTAGGTGGAGCTGGACAGCAAATTTAATAACCATACCTGTGGTCTCTGTGGGGATTACAATGGCATTCAAATCTACAATGAGTTCATCAAGGGAGGTGCGTCATCCCACCATACTGATGGTTGTCCCCAGAGATAGACTGACAAGCCCTGTGCACAGAAACTTCACAGGAGAGCAAATTTCACTTGAGAGGTTTCTGTGATTGCCCCAGACTAAACATTAAGTTCCAGTGCTGCATTCCTGGAATTCCTGCATTCTAAATTTATTCTGTTCTAGATTAATCTTTTTGTTCTTTACTAGCCTTCTTCTCCTGTTTCCCCTTTACATTTTAAAGCACAGTTAGATATCATTCAGAGCAGGTACCTGTGTCTAACAGGCATATTTGATACCATAGTAACTGTTTCCCTTGATCAGTAGAGTTCCAGGAATCAGGTGCTCCTTGTCAATGTTTGGGACTCAGCAAGTTCTCTTTCTATTTTTTTTCTCATAGATGCAAGCTACAACTCAATTACATATGGGAATATGCAGAAGATCAGCAAACCCAATTCCAAATGTGAAGATCCAGATGAAACTCAGGCTCTTCCAAGCTGTAATGAGCATGTAAGTACTTCTTGTGGCAAACTTCCTTGACATGGACACATGGAGACATCCTTGTGCAACAGGGAGTTAGTTGCAAGGATGTGGGGACTGTCCCTTCCAGGATATATGTTCAAAAGCTGTTCAAAAGACAACAGTTTTTATTGTAAGACAAGAAATGTCCAGAAGCTCAGATACCTGTAAATCTCTTAAACTTTATTCCTCTTCCTCCTCAGCGTGACGAGTGTCAGAGGTTGCTGACTTCCGCTGCGTTTGCTGATTGTCGGCTGCGTCTTAATTTGGAAATGTACATCCAAGCCTGCATGCAGGACAAGTGTGCCTGCAATGGGAAGGACGACTCCTTCTGCCTCTGCAGCACCATCTCCGAGTATTCCCGCCAGTGCTCCCATGCAGGCGGCCGCCCGAGAGAATGGAGGACACAGAGCTTCTGCCGTAAGCAGCTACACAAATTTTACAGACATCCAAAGGTTTCATGCATGTAGTACCATGACATTTAAATTCATTACTTCTTTTCAAAGCTGTTGGCATGTATTACAAATTTCATCCCGGTAGTGCTAAAAATTTTACGGTCTCTCTGCTTTCTTCTTGTGTTACTTTTACTATTAAGAAATACTTTTCAGCAAATTCTGTTCCCATTAAAAAACCTGAGATTTGATGCTGCAGGAGATGGGAATAATTTCATCTATTTGAAACCACAAGAAGTAAATACAAAAACCAGGGAAAGCACTTCAGATTTAGATAAATGTGCTTTGCCATGTGGAGTCTGGCTTGAGACACCACTGACTTGAAGGGAGTAGGGTGTATGATCTGGGGTTTCTCAGGAATGATGGACTTATCACTCAAATAACTCCTGGTGTCTTTTTTATTCTTTCAGCCAAGACCTGTCCTGCTACCATGGTCTATAGAGAAAGCAGCTCACCCTGTATGGATACCTGCTCACACTTGCAGATCAGCAGCCTTTGTGAGGAGCACTACATGGATGGCTGTTTCTGCCCTGAAGGCAAGTGTTATTCTAGGTGTTGCATCGGGGACAAAAGCAAGAGCTCTGGCTAAGGAAGTCTTATGAAAATACTACATCTAGTCAAATTATATCTTAGGAAAGAGTAGGGCTACTCATTATTTCCCCCCCTAGAGGAAAATAACTGTAAAATTTTCTAAGGAGGTAGTAATTGATTAATTAATAAATTATTTTATAGTTCAAACGTACTAACACAGTGACAGGTAATAGACCTACCTTTTAATTCTCAACAAGTGGGTTTTTGATACTATACAGTAAATCATGCTTTTCAGTGAATTGAATAGTTCTGAGACAATGGACATCACTTGCCCAGAGAGTGGCAGTGAGGGACAGTGAGTGAAATTCTCAGGCTTGATGTCAACCTTAGGAAGGAAGATTACAGTGATAGTCTTCACAGCCAAAAAGACTAAGAAACTAAACATGTGACATTCTCAGATTGTTCTTATATGCTTGCAATAACCTTTTTATCTGTGTATAATTATATAAATGAGCAGACTTGGATTTTCAAAGCTGAATAAAAGTGCTTTCTATCTTTCTTATATTACAAAAAAGTAGAGCCAGTATTCTTCAAAGTTTAGATAATCTCAGCCTGTGTGGAAAATTAGTTTTTCCACTGTGGAACTTGCTTATTTGAAAAAGAGCTGGAATAGTTAATGTTGTGTTTTATAGGAACTGTGTATGATGATATCAGTGAAAACGGCTGCATCCCTGTTAGCCAGTGCCACTGCAAACTTGGTGGAAAGGCATATGCACCTGGAGAAAGCATTTCCAAAGAATGTGAAGAATGGTAAGGATCCTGGTTGTTGTACACCTTTCTTTGAATGATTGTTAATGGGCCTGCATTTTTCAAATTTCCACTTGATCACAGGAGGTGTTCTGAAAACTCTCTGAATTTATTGTTTATATTGCATGTCTACAGAACAAAATTTCTGGTAAGTTTCTATGGCATATGTTAGATTCTGTGGCATATGTCAGAGGGAAAATCTCAAGGAAATGGTCAAGGATACAGTTTTAAAACACCTGGGGATAGCTTGCTGGCTGCCAGATATGCAGATACTTTCAGTGCTCTCAGCTCCTGTAATAACTACAAGCATTTTTTTGTATTATTTGTCTGTTTATAGCACCTGTAATTCAGGCAGATGGACCTGCAAAGATCTACCCTGTCCAGGCACATGCTCAGTGGAAGGAGGTTCCCATTTTACCACCTTTGATGGGAAGAAATACACCTTCCATGGAGACTGCTACTATGTGTTGGCCAAGGTACTGTGCACAGTGGGGTTGTTTCTCTTGTAGAGTAAAACAGTGTCTGTGGGCTGATGTGTATATCAGCTGGGAGTTATTGTTCTATTCCACTTCCATAGGGTGAGGGAAACCGAAATGCTGGAAGTTGTACCAGAAAAGTCAGGATTTAGCTATAATAGCCCTAAGGGGAAGCTGAGGACTTATTGCAATGGGTAATTAACTCAGTGAGATAGAAGACTGCCTGTGCTGTCATTATCCAGTGAAGTCCTTTGTATATAAGAAATCAAAAGGTCTCAGGATTAGAAGCTCTTGTCCACTTCTGTAATATTTCTAAGTCACAGTGTCAAAGTCAGGTAGGGAAAAGAGGTAGGCAGCTGTGCTAACCTAAAATATCTGGTGTCCATTCTTCTACAGAATGAGGAAAATCTTGTTGAGCTAGGAAAGTTATTGTAACTGATGAATTTAGTCCTTGCTGTGGAAATACTCTCATGAGAGTTTTAATATGACTAATGGACATTTATTTCCCTGTGATTGTAGGGTACTGCAAATGAGAGTTATGCTCTCCTGGCAGAGCTGGCTCCCTGTGGCTCCACAGACAAACAGACCTGCTTGAAGACTGTTGTGCTGTTAGTGGATAACAAAAAGAATGTAAGTGCTGTTCTGTGGATTCTACTAAATATGTTGAAAATTAACATATTTCCCTTAATGTGGGTGAATAGTTTTTTCTTCTGGAGTCATTATTGTGGATAGATTGGGAACCTCAGACAGGCTGACAAACAGCTCAGGTGTCTGGCTCGAGAATTCAAAGTAAACCTAAGCTTAAGAAAATATGAGATTCAAAACAACTGACATTTCCCCCTCTTCTTTCCTCTGCTCTGTGTGATATGATTTTTCTCACAGGATTCCAGGTGTCTGGAAGGAAGGGTACCTATTCTTCTGCACCTCATAGTTTTTTTCTTCATTCAAATATAATTTTATAGTTCTAATTTAGTCTTTTTCAGAATAAATCCTGTCTTTGAATGGTGATGCAATCCAACCTTCTCAAATATTCACTTTAGTATTCTCTTTGTTTATGAGAATGTATGGACTATCTCTGTACATAATTTACATACATATACACATGATATTCCTCACATATTTATGGGCTTCCATGTCCTTGCCAGCATTACTAGAATGTAAGAAAACCAAATCAAAATCCAATAGTTTTATGTTTGTGTATGTAGAGTAGCATTTTTTGAGGAAGTTTAATAAACTGCTTTCCTACCATGTCAGAATCATATTAACCATCACACAGAAACTGTAGCACATGCTTTAATAAGGAATGAGAACTTCCTACAGATCCTGAAGACCTAATATTTTCTTCTACTTGCTGAAACCAAAATGCCCAACATAAATGAGTTTTGCCTTTCATTGTTGGTATGAATTATTATAGGCAGATGTAAGAGAAGCACTGAGGAGCAAGACAAAACCATAGGCGTAACCTATAGGGCTGCTGCCATGTTCAGTTTTCAGACAGATTTTTCCTTTCAAAATTTGGAGTTCTAGACAGAGCGTAAATGTGTAAAATGTCCTTGCTGTTACTCTTCTTTGTATTAGTTCATTTTCCTCAGTCCCTGGAACCTCATTGATTCCATTTGCCGTTACACAGGTGGTGGTTTTCAGATCAGATGGCAGCGTGCTCCTGAATGAGATGACAGTGAATGTGCCTCATGTGTCAAGTAAGGGATGCAGCCTTGTATGTCAAGTGTCACACACCTGGCTTCTCATGTAGGGATGTATTTTTGTAGAGGCAAAACTGGAGGAGGGGTATTTAGCATTTTCCAAACCTGGCTGGTGCGGGCATGCCCATTTGTTTCTGATCCCAGACACCCATCTTTATAAGTAATCAACTTGTTAAGTTTGTAAGCACCAGCATCATATCTAGTTGGCCAGTGATTTTTAAAGGAAAAAAGATATTAATTTGATCCTGGTCTCAGAGATTTCATGCTGCGTGATACATGAGAATCTAATAAGAAGTGTTTCTTTTGGCAGCCTGTGTGTATTGGTTCATTACAACAGTTCATGTTTTGTTTTTCAGCCAGCTTCTCAGTATTCAAGCCATCTTCCAACTACTTTGTTGTACAAACTCCTTTTGGGCTTCAGATGCAGATCCAGCTGTTTAGAGTCATGCAGCTGTTTGTGACTGTGGATGAATCACTTAAAGGAAAACTTCAAGGCAAGTGTCTATGCAAATGGGAAGCAAAGTCATGCTGTTTCACAGCTGAATAATCATGTATTCTTTATATGATGCTACTTGTTGATTCGAAGGGAGAAAATGGAAAGAAAATCGACTCAAGCAAACTAGAAGTGTGTTTTATTTTGTGATATTGAAGTTATGTATCACTCTGTTGCCAGTACATAGGTGTTAGAATATTCCTTACTTTTGTATTTAGTTTAATTTTAAACTATCTACAAAACCAGGTTTTCAGTGTATTTTGTGGTTTCAATATCATCAGAAAGCATAAAAAATATGGGTTAGAGTAGTAATCTCTTGAAGCACAGGTATCTTCATGATTACTATTCTTGAAGATGTTGAAGATTTAAACCAGGGCTTCTAAAACTTCAGTATTTATTCAGTATGCATTAAATTGATGTGGAATAATCAGCTGTTTCTAATGTTTGTGATCAGTTGTCCCTTTCCTGTGATCATTCAGTATGAGAACAAATAATGCTTATGTGAAATTTTTACCTTGTTCTCAAATAGGTCTTTGTGGAAACTTCAATGGAATGGAAGGTGATGACTTCAGAACAACCAGCGGGCTGATTGAGGCTACAGGATCTGCCTTTGCTAACACGTGGAAAGCTCAGTCCACCTGCACAGACCAGGTAGAAAAGCTGGAAGACCCCTGCAGTCTCAGCATTGAAAGTGGTAAGCACATTAATAAATCAGAGGGTTGGCTTCTGCCAGGATGAGCAGTGTCTGCTGTGCATTACTGCAACAGGCCTGTAAGAGTTGTAGTGGGGCACTGAAGATTTTTACAGGACTGTAACATTAATAATTAATATCTGCATGTATGTATACATACAAGCACTTCATCAAACTGAAGTAAAAATTTAAAGGGTGATTGTAAAAGAATCCTAAGGTGGTAGAATGGAAAAAAGTCATTAATTTGTACTATCTGCAAAGACAGCTTGTATCTCCTAGCATTATTATTTAGACATTTATCCTTATGTTTAACTTAACTTTATGGTCCCAAATGGAAAGAGCTGTCACAATTCCATGTGTACAAATTGCAAAAGTACGGTGCAGTTTTTGATTTTATGATTGCATGTCTCTGAATCAAGGATTAGAAATACATGTGCGGTGATTGCATGTAGTTTCTCCACTTCCCAAAATGCACAAGTTCTCTCATTTGTATTTCTGCACTGCATTTATGCATCAGCATAACTAGGCATGGCACAAAGAAGATAAGGAAATGTGATGAATTTCTCTTTTTTTTGCAGCAAATTATGCTGAGCATTGGTGCTCTTTGCTGAGAAACCCAAAGGGTCCTTTTGCAAGATGTCACATGGCCATTGATCCTTCAGAATACTATAAGGTATTGTAATTTTGCACTCTTTTAGTGCTGCATTATTTCAGATGGTTAACTTTAGACATTTATCATTGTTTGAACATTTGAGACATCAGTGAGTAACTTGTCCATAAGAGATGCTGAATTTAATGAATTGACTGATTTGAGCAACATAGCATCCAAAGTATCTCATATGATGAGATCTTTATGGGCTGCTGCTGAATAAAAATGTACATTTTTTATTTTGCTTTTTTATTTTTTGTGACATATTTATTGGCTTGGATATTTGGACTGAAAAGTAGACTCAAGAGTTGCAGATGTGCACAGCTTAAGTATAGAAACATTAGTTTCTATAAAGTGGGGGGAAAAATTCCAACAGTATATTGGTTGGAATGTAACACCAAATAATTTTCATGCTGGAGTCTCCATGAATTCTTTTCCCCCATGCTCATCTCTGTTGAGCAGCAACGGAGGCTCACCTGAGGAAAAGGAATTCTAAAATCGTTGCTTTTACTTGGAAGTCAGAGTGAGCTCAAATGTTGTAAAGGTCTTCATAGACCTGGTTAATATTTTGCCTTTATTATTCTAGTTTTTGTGGATCTCTGCATTTCTAATTAGTAACTGAGAATGAATGGTATCAATATCCTTTGAAAAATGTGTTCTTAGCAGGCTGACTACTTTTTAAAGGTTCAAGAGGCTTGGCTTAGGTTAGAATAAGCATCCAAATATTTTCATTGTGGATTAAATGAAGCAGCACTTTAACTCTCTGATCTTTGTCCATTCTTTTCATTGTTCTCTTTCATTGTCATGGGACTTAATACAAACATCAGGAAAAGCAGACAGGACATTTTGTAGCAATCAAGTTGCAATTGCCCATTGATTCCTTGTGGATTTATTGACCCTTTTGTTCCTTTTTTTCAGAAATGTAAATATGACACCTGCCTCTGTGAAGACAATGAAGAATGTTTGTGTGCTGCCCTTTCCTCTTACTCAAGAGCCTGTGCTTTCAAAGGGATCATACTGGGAGACTGGAGAAGCAGTGTCTGCAGTAAGTAATGGAACAGTAATCCCTGTGGAAATGATTAACCATGAGAAATGAACAGGCTCTCTCTGAATTTGGTTGTCAGTAATCTATCCTGCTGTTAAGGGATTTGGAGTATCTTAGAAATGTGTAATGGACCAAAAAGAGGCAATGCTGATAATGTTTACTAATTCATGTTATATTCTTCAGATGTAATTTGAAATTTTTATACTTAAAAGTAGAAAGCAATATTTTAAACTTTCATCTTCTTTCTCCAGTCTAGCTAATATAATTGCATTTACTAATGGAATCCCAGCCATCAGGGCTTTTACTGTGCATTTGTTTGTCAATGTCATTGTTTCTGATCTTGCTTGCTCTACATCAACAGTTCAATATCTTTGAGACTAGCAATTTATTATATTGTGCTCACTATTTGATTATGTGAAACAAATAGGGCTATGAAAGTAGAAACTATTAGTAGCAGTTAAAAATAAGTCTTCAACTGGTGAAGATAGGTTAGTGTTACTTGTTACTTCTGATATTTTTGTACTTTAATAAGATCTAAGGGAATGTTTTTATCACTACATTCGGCGCAGCCAAAGAAACCAAAATGGAAATGTCAAGGCCAAATTGTCCATCCTGCATCCCTTATTTATCAGTTTGGTTTTTTTCCCTCCAGGCAGCGAAGCATCTTCTTGCCCAGGAAATCAAGTCTTCCTTTACAACCTTACAATGTGCCAGCAAACCTGTCGCTCCCTTGCTGATGGTGAAAAGTATTGCTTGCAAGACTTTGCTCCTGTGGATGGCTGTGGCTGCCCATCCAATACATACTTGGATAACCAGGATAACTGTGTTGCCATCTCCCAGTGCCCATGTTATTACAAGGGATCATACCTGGAACCTGGGCAGTATTTCACAAAAGATGGAGAACGCTGGTATGTTTTATTTTGGCTTCTTGTGTGTGAGGAAAAAGCTCTTTAAAAATTGCTTGTTAGATGTAAGGTTTTTTGGTACTTTAATGAGTATTTGTAATTTGTAAACATCTTTGTGCTGAGCAAAGCATTATTCTGTTGCAATGCAATTTATCAATAATTGAGAAGTGCTGCTTGCTTTTCAGGTGTGAGTATTTGCCTTCACAGATAAATGTTATTCTGAAGCTGCAATGTTAATAACGCTTTGTTAAGCAGAATGGTAAAAGAAAGATAAAAGGCCAACTATGTGTTATGTTTGCTTTTCTAGCAGACACAGAATGGTTGTGTTTTTCACTGGAGGAAGGTCCCTTTGATATGTATTCACTGTAACACAGGCTTTTGAAAACAACATTTATGATTCTTTTATATTTTCCCATGGTCTCTGGCAACAGTTTGCTGCCTGAGTCATCAGTACAAACTGGGAAATGCCTTCTCTTATCCAGCAGAAGCATATAGGTCAACAAATTTGCAGCATATAAATTCAATACTCGTGAAAATACACTGTGTGTCCAAATGGAGGCTTTTAATTCAATTATAATTATTATCTGTGTCATTACTATCTAATTCCTGAGTTGTCATAAGATACAGTATTAAAGATTAATAGAATATCTGTCATTCCTTAAAACACAACCTTTCTGTGTATTATGCCTAAAATCTTGCTACTCTTTTTCTCCAGCGAAAAAAATTGAGTAACTGAATTAGAAAAAATGAGCATAATTTAATAGAATGTGTCTTGAAATTTCAGTAGAAATGATGCAGGATATCTTTAATAAATGCTCTCAAATTTATATAAATAAGTCCTTAGACATAAATTGAAGATATTGAGCTTGGTTTTTTTAAAAAAAAAAATTTCTACTTACTTCACTTTTCTAGTGTTTGCCGAAATGCAAAGATCCAGTGCACTTCAGTGAAAATAAGAATGAAAAGTAAGTGACATTCCATAAACTAAACTAGAATAAAATCCATAGCCAACCTCCCATCCCAAACCTACTTCCCTTTTGAATTCTTCATTTACTTGTTTTGCATGGTTTTTTCTCTTTATGTAAGACAGTAACAGATTTTCACTTTGTTCTCTCTTCAGTAAGCCTATTTTTTTCATAAGGATAGACTGAGATTTCTGTCTGAGAAACTACCACCTTTCACTAACATTTCTTTTGCCTTGATTGATCTAAACCAACAATGTACCTTTCAGGTGAAAACGAATGTTCTTCTAGCAAGACATACTTTGACTGCAATGCATTCTCAAAGTGGACTTCACAAACACCTCTGCAACTTAGCTGTCATACTCCTCAAACAGATCATGTATGTATTCAACTTTTCTTTGTGTCTTTCTTTCTTTATTCTGTATTCTTAAATGACATGGTGCTACATGGCAAATACAGTTGTAATTAGCAGTTTATTTCTCTTTGGTTTAATCTACCTCTTTTTTTTCCCCCATGATAATAATCAGATGCCATTTTCACAGTGGTTACCCTCTCCTCTTTACTGTGTCTTCAGTAGAGTCATCATTTCCAAGCAAAAAAGAATTTGAGTTCTTAGACAATCCAAAAAGAAAAGAAAAACATTAGAAACCTAGAAAACAAGAACCTTATAAAACTAATCAATAGTAGACTGTGTGGTTTTAAATGCAGATTTTAAAGTGTGAAGAAGTGGAATTAAGATGCAGCACTTAATAAGTATAACCATTTCTCCTTATATTCCTTAGTTCCAGACAGAGTGTGTCTCAGGCTGTGTGTGCCCTGAAGGTCTATTTGATGATGGCAGAGGGGGCTGTGTTGAGCAAAAAGATTGCCCGTGCATTCACAACAATGAGTGGTATTCTTCTGGAGACAAGATAAAAGTGGACTGCAACACCTGGTGGGTTATAAGTGAATACTCTCTTCTAGGATGTATTCTATGCAGTATATTCATAGTCATATCTAGGTTTATGTACTAGTAGCTGCAAAAGCTGGAAGTATCATCCTTAATTTTCAGGAATACTTCTTGCTGTCTCAGAAAATACAGATTCTGCTGGAAGTATGGAGGTGGTAGTTACCTCTGTTTTCAGTAGGCATCTCTTATTGGGAAAACTCACTCATTTTTTAAAACTAAATGCTATCAGATCTAAAGATTGTAGCTCAACAGAGTAAAAATCATGTTATAGGCTTAAAAATGGGCTTATCAATTGAAATTGAGGCTTGGATATTTTGCATATTATCACATTATATCAGGCAGTTGCTTGGTTTGTTCTGCAGTTTTTCAAACCACACACTCTTGGTGATATCTGAAAATTGAACTTCTCTGCTCTCTTCTAGCACCTGCCAGAAAGGGGTTTGGAAATGCACTGATGATGTGTGCTATGGGACTTGTATGATATATGGAAGTGGCCATTATAACACTTTCGATGGGAAGTTCTATGACTTTGATGGGAGCTGTGAATATGTGGCTACTCAGGTAATGCTCATCAGGAGGGCTGAAAAAGAATTTGATTGCCTTGAAAATCTACTTTCCTCTTTGGTTTTGTCATTCCTTATTGCCTGTCATCATTGTTTCCAAGGGGTTCACACGTTCTGCCAGGATAAATTGTGTATTTTCAGTGCAGGCAAACTGTGTGAATGTGGCTCTTTTTTTTTTTTTTTTTTTTCAGATATATATATCATAAATTACATACAACAGAACTATGTTACAGTGAGAGCTAATTATAATTTGTGAAATAAATCCAAATTCCAAGCTCGGAAACTTAAAACTTTTATTTAAAGATATATTCCTCACTTTGTTTTATAGTCCCATTCTTTTTCCGAGGCTGTGTTAACTGCATGGAAGTATGCATATATGGCTATGCATCTGTAAAAATATGTGTGTGTAAAATCTCACATTTCAAGGAGCAGTAACCATTTATACATTGTGAAGACTTAAATGATTGCAATTCTTATGAGATTGGACTACAATGAAATATTCTATCTAATTTTCTTATGCTCTTTTTTTTTTTTTCTTTTTCAATAGGACTTCTGCGGTGACAAAAATTCCAGCGGCTCATTCAGTATCATCACAGAGAATGTCCCTTGTGGAACTACAGGAGTCACCTGCTCAAAGGCTATCAAAATGTTCCTAGGGGTGAGTGATGACAGTCAGTACATATCAGTATTACCAAAAATGTGATGCTCTAAAGTCATGACCCTAAAAGCAGCTGTAACAAGCATTAGAGGTCCTATCAAGTTATTCTGTAAAGGTGTAGGTTCTCAGGTGATGAAAACTCTCTCAAACAGAAGTGCTACGCCACTCCCAGCTATCTTGGAAGTCATCCCAGAGTCTGAGCTACTGGTTACAGAATGAGTTGCATTGTTACAAGTGTCTAATATTTTGTCTCATCATAGAAGTTAGTGTTACAATACTTCTCTTTTGTCTTTCAGAAAACCGAACTGAAATTGGAGAACAAAGAGTACAAAGAAATTCAGCGAGATGTTGGTGATGATGTGCAGTATTGGAACAGGACAGTTGGCCTGTACCTGGTTATTGAGGCTAGCAATGGTGTGATGCTGATCTGGGACAAGAAGACTACTGTTTTCATCAAGCTGAGCCCTGATTACAAGGTTAGTGCCTGTCTGTCTTCTTCTGAGGTAGTATTGTGAATAGACAAGGAAACATAAAAGAACATAAATGTTATTTTGTTCTGACTCCATGTCTAATTCCTATATCCTCTGTGCACTAATGGTCAGCTTGCATTATTGCAGTCACAGCTTGCAGAAGTTCTTCTGGGGTTTCTTACAGTATATCACAATGCATTGCACAGAATGCATAGGATGTTATTCCAATAGAGATAAACACCTCAGGCAATACTCTTGATTTTGTGAGTATTGACAGCCAATCATCCAGATAATTTAGGGGATGTGGACTGATTACATATGTGCTTGGAAACCTACATGCATGGAAACTCAGCCCTGTGTTAAAACCAAACTCCCTGTGCAATGTATGGTGATGGTTCTGGTTCCTGAAATTCAGCATGCTGAATTGAAGAATACTGAGGCATTGTACAACCAGTGACATACTGTTACTTGAGGGGAGTGGTGGGCCTTAAATAACAGTACCAAAAATTCACCGTTGAAGGCAGATTGATACATTTTCTTTCAAGACAAATGAGTCCTTGTCATTTCTTTTCCATGAATGAAGAAATGGTGATCATTATGTTAGAAACTTTTAATAAAAACACCTTTGAGCAGAAATTAATTATCTCAGGCTTATATTAACAGGTGAGTTATGTTAAATTGAGAATGGAGAATAATTCATTCTTCTCAGCTGTAAGAAGCTTGGGCATTCTTTAATGTTTTAAGTTGGATATGGAGACAGATGCGGAAATACACTAGATATTAATGATTTCAAGGAGGAAAGATATGGCAGCTGAGTAATTTGCAGAAGACAGACAAGTAAAAATTTATTTTCTGTACAAATGATTTGACAGTAAAGAAGAAAGTCATCATTTACACAGACAGTCATCTGTCGTTTTTCATGTCAGTGTTTTGCTCTTACTTTGCCAGAGCCTGTTTCTCATTTCCATGGTATATTTAAAAACTCAATTTTCTTTTCCAGGGCAAAGTGTGTGGTCTGTGTGGCAACTTTGATGACAAGGCAAACAATGACTTTACAACAAGGAGTGGACTGCAGGACAATAATCCTCTGAATTTTGGAAATTCCTGGAAACAATCTCCCATGTGCCCAGATGTCACAGAAGAGATTAAGCCCTGTGATCTGAAACCACACCGGAAGTCTTGGGCAGAGAAAGAATGCAGCATCATCCAGAGTGAAGTCTTCAAAATTTGTCACTCCAAGGTTTGTAGAAGACAGTAGGTGATGGGACAGCACAGTGCATTTCTGATAATGCAGAACCAAAAAGACCATCAGAAATGAAATGAATGAAGAGATGGTTAAATAGATTGATCTTCAATTAAGTCTTGTCAGAACTTTCATGTGGCCTTAGTCAGAGTAGTCTGAGTCTCTGTGGCAATGGGACTGTGTCAGTGGTGGTGGCAGCCCGAGCTGTACAAACCCATATTCATCACCACAGTTTCACTGCTACTACTCTGCAAGTTAGCTTCAGAAATGTATCCTGAACAGGTTATGTTTGCTGCAGTTGCACCATCTCTTGTTGAGAGACAGTCAGCATTACAAGTACTGAAGGACCTTACAATCATCAGATCCATCTCCTGATGGAAATTCATATTAAACATGAAAGGTGGCTGTTGAAGAGGCTACTACTTCTTGTAGTATTTAATCCACAAAAGGATCTTTTTAGACACCACTGACATCACGTTTAGACAGACAGCTGCTGGTACTGTGCCTCCATAATTGTCACAGCAAACACTGCCAGCCCACAGCTTCCAGAGTACAGTGCACAGAGGGAACTCCTCTTTATTTCCCATCTCTTTCCTGATGCATGGTAATATGAACAACAATTTGTTCTTAAGTCACAGTGGAAAAGTCACAAACAATTATTAATTTAATTAATTTGTTATATATTTCCATGTGGTTTACTTCAGCAGCAAAAATCCAGTCTAAGTTTCTCCTCTTGCAGTCTCAAAAAAAAAAAAATTAAAAAAAGCTTTTTTTAATGTGTCATTGGATTAACTCCAAAAACTGATAGGCACAAAATTGCATGCTTCGTATTTGCTGTTAATGCAGCCTTTCTGACATTGTTCACCATTTGGTTGGCAAAGCTTGCTGGAAGATAAGACTTTACTGGCATCAATTCAGCTTGGTTTTGGGAGCGCTAAAATGGAACTCTATTAGAAGGGAGTTCTAATTGGAACTCTATTGCCAGGGACTCTGTTTTTTTCAGTCATAGCAACTTATGAAGGAACTATATTATTTTAAGTCTATTATTCCCCAAAACATATTGAGCAACTTCAAGCCTGTAAGTGTTTGTGATTTGGTAACTAACTCTTAGACACAGTCTCATTCCTTCCTAGTTCAATTCCCATATATCAAGAGCTCTCAAACATTTATTTGAAAACTAATTTGCAGATGAACTGGAGCATCATTTTTTCCCCTGACAGGTGGACCCACTTCCTTACTATGAGGCTTGTGTTCATGATGCCTGCTCCTGTGACAGCGGTGGGGACTGCGAGTGCTTCTGCTCTGCAGTTGCAGCGTATGCCCAGGAGTGCATCAAGGCTGAGGCCTGTGTTTTCTGGAGAACTCCTGATATCTGCCGTGAGTAACAGATAAACACAACTGTATCTTTCTAGCTGCTGTCAGAAAGCCAGTCAAATAAATCATTAGTACTGTCACTGCAAGGTCATGCTGGCTGCTTGGTGAAACCTTTTCTCAGCATATCAGGGAACAAACAGGCTAGTAAATTTGTATATTTCAACTGTCTTCTGTTCAGCCTGGCTCCTCTTCTCTTCTCTTCTCTTTCCTCTTTCCTCTTTCCTCTTTCCGTTGTTAAAATTACTCAGAATTTGATTTTACCAAGAAGTATATAGAACTCCCATGCTTTAGCACTGAACCTAATCAGTGTTATGTGTATTAAGCAGTGTCCATTAGTGGTGCTACTCATACCAATACATCATAAATTAATGTTAAATAGTATTTAAATTAATAGTACCCAAAAAGTGCTCAAATCAAAATTTTGAGATACTAAGTAGCAGAAATATATATTTTTTTAATTTTGAAAATTCATTCAGATTCAGAATTTGGACTAATTGGAGCTTTTAAGTGTAAGAAGCCAGTGAAACAAAAAATTGTAAGTTTAATTCAGCTCTGATATATAAGTTAATAGAAGCTCCTTCCTCTGTCTGTAGTCATCTAAGCTGAATTTAAGTTGTATTCATAATGGCTCATATGCTTCCTCTTGGACTTTCAGCCTGTGTGATACAGCAAGATGGAACTTTTTTGAACTTTTGTATGAAACTGAAAAATATTTAAGAGTTTGCTTGTAGCTATTGAAGAAAAAAATACTGTCAGAAATATACCTTTAATTTTAAACTAAAATAATTTTAAAAAAATAGTTCTTTATGATTTGAAGCATTGTTACCCAGTGGCCTGAATATTTAAAATTTCAGTCTTGAGCACCAGTATTTTGATGTATCCTAAATTTAAGCAGAGTAGCAGAAAGTCCAGGTCTTGTACCTCAAGAGGAATTTGGCCAAATGTAGTCTGTACCTTTAAATGCCTGCTCAGAAGTGCATTCTGGCAACCAAGTATTTAATTACCTTCTCTCTTTTCTCATCAGCGATATTCTGTGACTACTACAACCCTCGCAATGAGTGTGACTGGCACTACGAGCCTTGTGGCAGTAATATCACAACCTGCAGGATGATCAATAATGTCAGCACCAACTTTACAGTACCACTACTGGAAGGTAATAAATTCCTTGCCATTTTATATTGTGTGTTGTATAACTTTTTTCAGATATCTTTTAATAATTATGGACTAGTCAGTCAACTTGATGAGATATTCCTATATCTTCTATGTTGAGTTTGCCTCCAGTCTTAGATAAGTGCTTCCTATAATGTAATCTATTATTTATGAACATCAATGGGTGATAGTTACATTGCTGTCAGCCACAAAACTAGTTCTCTGCTTGGATAATATCCTGAAACAAGCCTTATTATTACATCATAGTTATTTTGAATCCCATGCGAAAGTATTTCAAAACCAGGAAAATCTTTGATATGGCAAAGAATCAAGTCACTGATAGTTGGGTGTTTTTATCCTTATAATTTTTCATGTGCCAGATCATCTTGCCTTTACTAGATTAGTCTGCAATATTCAACTACCTTTACAGTGGAAAATATCTTTCATAGCAGACACACTGATGCTGCTTTATTTGAATTTGTACTGGAGATTCTGTTTCCTTTGTAGATGAGATATTAGTAGGCAACAGTCCTTGTGGTTAATAATGGAACAGGAGCTTCACATTAAAAGGACTGCAATGATCCAAGAATGTGAAAGACTTTACAAGTATCTTCTGTTTTACCACATGGTAAAGCTGGAGAAAGAAGCTGTATTTTTAGCCATAAAGTCTTTTTGGTCTGTATTGGAAGCACTTATCTCCAGTTTAGGGATCGGCACGAAATGCCTTGAGTTTGAATTTTCTTTGAACTGCTAGTAAAAAAATTAAAAGAAACAAATCAAACAAACCAAAACTCAAGAGAAACAGAACAGAACAAACCAAACCAAACAAAGCAAAACAAAAAAAACCCCAAAAAAACACCACCACCACCACAAAAAATAAACAAACAAACAAACAAACAGAACCCAAAAAACCGCCAAAAAACCCTACTAAAAAAATCAACTAAAATCCCTAACTAAAATATTTTTAAAAAACCCAACAAGCCTTTGAATTTTAAAATAAATTATCTTATATTATTAGATAGATAAGGTTTGGGAAGTGTCAGAAGGCAGATTATTATATATCCAATTATATTTCTAAATTATTTTTGTTGCTTAATTTCAATAGTAATATAGAACACACCTATTTTTATTATGACATCTTAAGTCACAGTCTGGCAACAGTCTGGCAGTGTAAAGTGACTTTTAAGTACCAGTTAATTACATGGTGCTTCAGTTTAAAGGCTATTTAGAACTCCAGTACAGTAAAAACAGAACTTCATGTCATTAATAATTGGACTTAATAAGAGGTTATTTGGAGGAAGGAGATACAATAATAATAACAACAGAATAATATTTTAAAGTAGATTTACATAAAAAATGGAATGACAATTGACAGTCAATTAATCCCTTGCAGTGAAGTTTGGATCAGTACCTGTGGGTAAAGAAAAACACAGATAAATTATCTGTTTGAGGTAGAGATACCTGGTGTGTTCTAGGCATATAAACAAGGCCTAATGTTCCAAGAAATGTAGTGAAAAACCTGTTTGTTAGTGAATCTGCTTCCATATTCTGCACAAAAGTATTATTGATATAGTGATCTATACAAAAATTGGGGTGTTTTTTTGTCTTAAAATCACTAGTTGCCCATAGAAATTAATGAATTAGGGGTTTCTCCAAGGTATTGAACTAAGAAAAAAAAACTTCACTAGTGTACATAAAAAAACTTATTTAATCCTCCTCACACCAGTATTATCAATGAGAACTGTTGAAGTCTTTTGGAAGGACTAATTGTCCGCAGTTTGATTTGAATGGGAAGTTTTAGATTTTTTTCACTATGCTTGGTTCAGTGAGAATAGTTTACCTTCAGAAGTTAACATATCACTGAGTTAACTTTTTGTACTTTTTCTTCATCTTTATTCTGTTCTACCTGTCATCAATAGGTTGCTACCCCAGATGCCCTAAGGACAAGCCTATTTATAATGAAGAGACAAAGCAATGTGTGACTGAAGATCAATGTGGATGTTACCTCGAGGATGGAACCCATGTACTCCCTGGGCAAGAAGTTACAAAAGAAAACTGTACAATATGGTATATAAAAATTATTTGCAGTAATTCACAAAATAATTAGTGTATGCAGAGTCCTTAATTTACTTTACTGGGCCTCAAACAGAGATGCAGCTTCAGCTGAAGAGCTGGTATATTCTTGCATTTCATAATTTTCCAAACCCTTAATAATCCAGATTTCAGGTTGGTAGTGTTATTATAATAAGTGTATCAGCAAATTAATTAATTATACCTGTCAACTCTCATCAATTATATAATGAAACCTCAATGAACTTCTAAAACAACCTTTCAATTCTCACTGCTCTTTGGGAAGAGAGGGGCTGCTCTGCCTTGCATTCTCACTTAAAACTGTAGTCTGAAATACTCTTGCCCTGAAAGAGATAGTTGAGTCCTAACTGTTCATGCTTAGAGTGTTAGCAATGACAGCACTTACACTTCTGGGTCCACATGGTGACCAGAAAATAATCTGATTTAGCTGAAAGTTCACTCTGCAAAACAGTTGTTATTGCAGTATTGCAACTTGCAATTAAACTGAAAGTGGTGACTTTGAAAGAAAAATGGTAAGCAATACTAGAAAATATACCCAGAAAAATATCTAGTAGTGTGAATGAAGATCAAGTGACAAATATCTATGTTTCTGTGCTCTTCACTCTGCTAACAGGTGTCATAAAACATCAGCAACATTTTAATTTTTGAAAATTTTTCTTTTAGTGTCTGTGTCCCATCAGGATCCATAGAGTGTAAACCAGTCCCAGGTAAATAACGTTTGGGTTCTTCTGGAAACAAAAAGAAAAGAAAATGCACAGAACTGCTCTGTCTGACTTTACAAAGCCTTAGTATTGATTTAGAATAATTCTTTCCAGTGCAGTCAAAGTTGTGAAAATTTGGCAGCCCTTTTGTTGAACCTTGCTCTTAGTACTCCTGGTTAAACCTTTTTCTCATGCCCTTTCAGTCTTTCTCCCCATGTCCCATATCCAAACTAATGGATTTCATTACGAGTTTGCACTTCCTGAACATGTAGTTATTAATATAAAAGTGTTCAGATAGTAAATTTCAATTATTATTTCTCTTAGAACATTTTAAAACCTACTTTCTAAGTTGTACCACCAGGCATTTTATTCAGGAGTTGATTAAATATGTTCTAACATTGCTTTAAATGTAAAGATAAATTTGCATAATATAGTAGATCTAAGCTCCAGGTACAGGTCTGAAAAACATGCATGACTCATGTAAATGCTCTCTTGTCCATAAGTATTTTGCCTCTGCCTCTTACATGGTGGTAGAAAAATTGCACAGTAAAGCTCTTTCTTGCAGGGTGTCCTTGTGTCATCAATGGAACGAGTTATGAAGAGGGTGCTACTGTGGGACACGTACAGGATGGTGACATATGTATAACATACATTTGTGCAGCAAATGGCTCTGTAGTTCCTGGTGAAGTCTATCCTTGTCCAACATCTTCACCTACAACCATCTCAACCTCCTCCCCTCACAGTACTCTTACCACCACCACCGCAGGTAAATCATCAATACAGATGAGATCTAAAAGATTGTTTTCTTTAAGGAAAATATTTTAAATATAGAATGTACAATTATCTGGGATTGTAATTGACACAGAGCAATATTTATGGATTGTTTTATCACACCACACTAAGAAAGACTTTTAGCATTTTGAGTTGATTTACTTCTCGTGAAAAAAATTGTAAGTATAAATGTATAGGGTGTCTTCCTATTTTTGAAAAAAATTGTTAGCTTTTCAATATCCTAATGGGATAGGAGAAATAATGTTAGGAGTGTCAGCAAAAAAAATACTATTATATTTCTTTTGAAATGATAATCTCTTTTTGTTGTATTTCAGTTTCCACTGCAAGCCGCCCAGTCACTACAAGTAAGTTATAAATACAAAACAATGTTGTTAAAAATGTCAAAGGAATATTTAAAGGAAGAGTAAATTAAAGACAATCAATACAGAAAAAATATATTTTAAACAAAAATGAATAATTTTTAAAAAATAATTTCAAAAGTGCCATTAGTATAGAGAGAAGAAGGACCTTTAAAGGCTTCAGCTTGGTGATTTTATTTTGATGCACATCTTCCAGTTCAAAGACTGAGTAATAAAGAACTGATTTTAGAACTGTTTTCTTTGGAAAGATTACAAATTGCAATGCAGTCCTCTAGTCCTTAATGGAAGAAAATAAAAAATGCATCTTCTCAGGATGTTCTTTCCAAAGACTGAACCCTCTGTCTTTTCTTGCAGCTCCATGCGTAGTCACAGAACTAATCTGTGATTGGACTGAGTGGTTTGATGTTAGTAAACCTGAAGAAGGTGGTGGTGACTATGAAACATACGATGAAATAAGAAAACATGGAAACAAAATATGTACAGCTCCTGAAAAAATTGAATGCAGGGCTAAGGATAAACCTGATGTGAGCTTAGAAGAACTTGGTCAGAAAGTAGAGTGTAATGTTAAATATGGGCTAATCTGTAAAAATGATGAGCAAGATGTAACTATGTGGCCACTCTGCTATAATTATGAAATCAGGGTAAACTGTTGTGAGTGGCAGGAAGTTCCTTGTGGGCCTACAGTTACACCTACTATACCTTCAACTGCAACCACCACCAAGACAACAATAGGCAGCACCACTACAACCAGGACTACAACAGAAATTACCACCACGCCCATATACATCCATTCCACAACACGTGAGTATACACCATAAGTCCTCACCCTGTTAACTTCAACATCTCCAGGTATTTAACTGAAAAATACTCCATGATCTTTGCCTTTGGAGAAATATAGGGCTATTGGCTACTGAAGGCAGGTCACAATCATAGAAAATGTTGGTCTGCAAGGAAGCCTTACTTAGGAGAGTTTCGACTTTTAAGTTTCTGCTGGAGACAATATTCCCAAAAGGACCTGCTGTGTGAGAAAAGAGTAGGCCATGCTTCAAACTCCTGTTGCTAGAGGCATAATCTGGGTGGACTGCACAGGCTTCCTTCTTCAGGCTGACATTGTCTTGCTGATTTTATGAGAAGCACTTTCCAGCATTATGCCTAATATCTTCACTAGGAAAAGAGGGTCATGACCTCTCTGTGCATGAATGTCAAGGATTCTGCTTTCTGGGGACAGAAAGGGAAGGCTGGTGCTAGGGACTTTGCAGTGCTAAGGGTGAGCTGACCTCTCTAGCTCTGCACAGCTTCTGTTCACTTCCTCTTCAGTCCCACTCATACCTCTGTACCTTTGTCTGTTTTCTCTGTCCCTGCTCTTTCTAACAGCCCCATCTCCACCCACACCAAGCACACCAAAATCGACAACCACTCCCTCCACGCTGGAGACTCCCACCACTACCAGCACCCCGACAACAACGACCATTGGATCACCAACACCCACCTCAACTACTTCAAGCACATCCTCACCAACACCAACATACACCACCACCACACCAACTCCAGGTACTTCTCTGGACTGTTCTCTGATGTGTTCCTTTGCTATGGGAGAAATGAAGGTGCCTTGGCCCCTCCTTTAGTGTGTCTCCATGGGATTGCAGATTGGAGGAATTACTGTTCATCCTCTCAAGTGCCCTGTGGTCAAAGCTGGCCTTTTGGCCAACTGGTTAAGAAGAACAAGGATTTAGGGATCCTAGGGTGAAGGTCTTGGCTTCCTTGATTCAAAAGACTCCCAGGTAAAGTTTCATGCTGGTGCCCAGCTTAGACAGGTGCTGAACTGAGGGAAATTCTTTATTTTCCTGCTGTTGGACCTTGTCCTTCAGTTGGCCAGAACGTAGTCACTGGACCCACAGATGGAGGGGATGGAGTGGGGCTTTATTCTGCAGCACTCTCATTCTAGGAACAGCTGGGCAGACTTTCTTCCCTTTCTTCTCCTCATTTGGCATGTCAGTACAAGTGCATGAAAATGGTTCTAGATCTTAGAAGCAAGGATTACACTGGGAGACTTTTGGAAACAGTTTTACACTAAAAAATGCCACTTCTTTTGAACTGTAGCCTTTTGCTGGTGACATCTGCAACTCTGGGAAGCTGCAGATGACTGATGACTCTAGAACTCTGGGAAGCCCTTCATCAGGCTGACATACCACCAGAAGGAAATTTCGTGACAGTCAGGCATGAACTTACTCCTCTTCCCACCTTCATTTCTGACAATGAATTCACCACACAGGTGAATACTGCAAGGATTTGTGAGGTGTTCAGGTAGTGAGGCAGAGATAGAAAGTGCCAGCGACATAAAAGGCATTACAGCTCCTCATCACTTACCTATTGGTAGGTCTCTCTGATTTGGTGAGAAGCACCTTCCAGCAACATCCCCAGTCTCCTAGCTAGGAAAGAAGGGCCATCACCCCTTATGTGCATGGATTTCAAGGATTTTTCTCTGGGGCCACAATGGAAGGGTTGGTGCTAGGGATCTCTGCTCAGCTAATGGTACGCTGACCCCTCTATGTCTGGGGCAGCTGCTTCATGCACAGCTTCTGTTCAGTTCACAATGAGTCCCACTGATGCCTTTGTGCCTTTGTCTGTTTTCTCTGTCCCTGCTGTTTCCAACAGTCACACCGAGCACAGCATCCCCTACATCAGAATTGACAAGCACTTCCACATCAGCGGAGACTCTCAGCAGCACCACGACCACCACCACTACCAGCACCAGCACCACCACCACCACCAGAACACCAACAACAACAACAACAACTACTACAACAACCATCAGAACTCCTGAACGTATGTTCCAAAACCAAATAATTCCTGCCCAAAGCCCTGTGCCTCCAGCTGCAGTACCAACAAATAATTCTCTGGCTCTGTTGTCATTTCTGGCCTTGCTATGGGAGTAGTGAAGATCCATGAGCACCTCCATATGTGGCTCTGGAAGGGATCAGGGATGGGTGTAATTTCTGGGCAACCTGTGGCTAAACCTGGCCCTTGTTCTGGCTGTTTAAAAGGAGGAAAGATTTAGGGGACCTTGGGAGAAGGTCTTGTCTTCCCTAACTCAACAGTGCTCCATGGAGGAATTTCACACCTGTGCCCGGATTAGACAGATACTGAAGTGATGGGAATGTTGCTTTTGCTGCTATTGGACTTTGTCCTTCAGGACAGGTCTTACATCAGACTGGACCCAAGGTGTGCAGTTGGAGTGGGGCTGAAGTTCGTGGCCATGGCATTTCAGGCTCTGTTTGGGCACAGCTGTGCAGACCTACTTTCCTTTCTCTTCTGTTTTGTTTCTGTGGCCATTGCTGCTATTTACCAGCTGTTTGGGCTGTACGATGCTTCCACGGCTTTTGCTGGCAGAGTTTGAGGATTGGTTTCAGAGCTCAGATTGCCACTTCTGACAGACACAAGCTCTGGGCGGCTGGATTCTACCAGGGTTCCCACTGGTGCTTGTCTGTAGCAATCTGTGTGCTGCTGGGAAGCACTGGGAAGCACTGCTGGGAAGCAGCTAAGGTTTTGTCAGCAGCCTGTGTCCTGTGCCTGCTTTCCCTGTCATCAGGTGCCTTCCCAGTGGTTGGTTTCTCCATGAGATACTGAGGTGATGTGCATGGCCCAAGAAGCTGAGAGAGTGGCAGGAGTCTCTGCTTAGACCCACTCTGCCTCCTGTATGGGTCTTATGTGCATGTTTTTTTGCAGACGAGTGTCCATACAAAGCAGTGTGCCCCAGCTCATGCGTTGCCTGTGTCCTGACGCGGGCCAGGAGTGGTTTTTAGGGCCAAGAAGGAGAGGCCTGGCCACACCACTGAGCTTTCTTATGCCCATGTTGGCTAGTGCAGTAGCAGCCTGAGGGGCACCACCTGGGGATGCCCAGAGCACCACCTGTGTGTGCTGCTGGTGCCCTGCATTGTTGTCTCTCTCCTGTCTGTTTCTAACTGTCCTTCTTGTTGTCTCCTCTCAGCGTGTGAGTGCATCTGGACGGACTGGATCGATGTGAGCTATCCAGATGGTTCTGACAGGAATGGTGGTGACTACGAAACCTTTGAGAACATTTTGAACAAATACCCCTCCTGGGAGTGTGCGAAAGTTGAGAATATTTCATGCCGAGCAGAGAAATTCCCTAGCTATTCCATTGCAGATTTAGGGCAGAAAGTGGAATGTAACGTTAACGTAGGGCTCATCTGCAACAATAAAGATCAGCAGATAGGAGGTATAATACCAATGCCAGTCTGCCTCAACTACGAGATCAGTGTCTGCTGCACCCCCAACAAACCAGAGTGTCTTCCAACTCCAAGCACCACGAGCACCACAACTTCGACATCTTCCCCTACAACAAGCAGTGTGTCCCCTCCAATATCAACCACCGCTCCAACGTCAACAGCAGTGGAGACTCCCAGCCCTACCACCACCACCACGACCACCAACACCACGGTGCCCCCCAGCAGCACCACCACTAGTGGCAGCACCTCACAGACAACCACAGCTCCTCCTGTCTCAACAACACCCATTTCAACTACTTCAAGCACATCCACGCCCACACCAACATACACCACCACTACATCAACTTCAGGTACTTCTCTGATCTGTGCACTCATGTGTTTCCTTTCTGTGGGCAACTGAAGATCTGTGAGCACCTCCATTTGTGCCTCTCTCTGGGATCTGAGATTGGGCTAATTGTTGCATATCTCCTGAAATGGCCTTTGCCCAGAGGTGGCCCTTGGGCTGGTTGTTTCGTAAGCAGCCAAGAATACAGGGCTCTGTGTCCTCCTCTGCGGTGGTGATCTTGATCCTCTTGTGCATACATCCACCCTTGAACACCTATTCCTCTCTCAGCTCTTACTCCATGAGTTAGTGAGCTGTTCACCATTACTCCGTCTCTCTCTTTCGCCCCAGAAGATGAAAAGCATTACTGCTCCTCCTCTCTTCCTTATATAGGTAGATCCCTCTGATTTTGTGAGAAGTACCTTACAGCACCATTCCCAGTGTCTTCACAAGGCAAGGGGGGCTGTGACCCATCCTGTGTGTGCATGCCTGTCAAGGATTCTGCTTTCTATGGCTGGAAAGGGAGGACAGGTTCTGGGGACCTTTGTTGTTCTAAGGGTGGGCTGACCTGTCTAGCAAAGCTGGTCTCTTGGTCTGGCTGTTTCAGAAGGAGCAATTATTTAGGGGTCTTGGGGAGTAGGTTTTGACTTCCCTGACTCAGCAGTGCTCCCAGGAGGTGTTTCATCCTGGTGCCTCATCTTGTACAGATTCTGAAGTAATGGAAACCTTGCTTTTACCCCTGTTGGTCCTAATCCTTCAGCTGGCCAGAATGTAGTCACTAGACCCATGGAGTGCAATTGGAGTGGGACTTGGTCTTGTGACGCTTGCATTTCAGGCTCTATTTGGGCACAGCTGTGTATAGTTTCTCACCTTTCTACTCCTCCTTTACCCTTGTACTGTTAATGGTGTTCAGCTGCTCTAGGTGTAAGCAGGAAGGATTCTTTTGGCAGGATTTTGGGAACAGTTTCAGTCTGCATACTACCCTTTGCTGTCAACTGGCAAGCACACCAAAATCGACAACCACTTCCACGTCACCGGAGACTCCCACCACCACTGCCAGCACCACGATGCCCCCCAGCAGCACCACCAGCATCGGCACCCCGAGCACAACAACCATTACTAGACCTCCCACACCCACCTCAACTGCTCCAAGCACATCCACGCCCACACCAACATACACCACCACCACACCAACTCCAGGTACTTCTACATTTTGTGCTCTCACACGTTTCCCTGCTATTGGAGTATTGAAGTCCGTAAGTACCTCTTTCTGCCCCTGTATGGAATCGAGGATGGGTATAATTCCCAGGTATTCCAGGAAATGGGCTGTTCCTAACCTGGTGTTCTGGGCTGGCTTTTTCATAAGGAACAAGAATATAGGGGTCACGGGAAGAAGGTCTTGGCTTCCTTGACTCAACAAGGCTCTAAGGAGGTAGGGCATGCTGGTGCCCAGCTTAGAGAGATGTTAAACTGATGAGAAATGTTGCTTTGGCTGGTGTTGGGCCATCCTTCTGCTGGCCAGAATGGAACCACTGGATCCATGGAGTTCAATTGAAGTAGGGCTTGGTCTACTGGTAGTGGCGTATCAGGTTCTGTTTGGGCACAGCTGTGCCAAGTTTTTTCCCCTTGGCCTTCTCAGTGCTAACAGTTGTCAGTTGTAATAGGTGTTGGAATGAAGGATTCTCCTGCAAGACATTTGGGAACAATTTCTCTCTGCAGACTGCCCCTTGTTGTGAACTGTGGCCTTTCATGAGATTCACTAGTGCCCAGGGAAGTCATTCATCACGCCTTCATTGCACCACTGGGATATCACATGATGATCAGGCAGGAATATATTCACAGAATCAGTTAGGTCAGAAAAAATCTCTGAGATCATCATGTCCAACCTTTGCCTGAACACTACAATGTCACCTAGATGATGGCGCTAAGTGCCACATCCACTTTTGTCTTAAAAGCCACCAGACACTGTGGCTCTGCCACTTCCTTGTGCAGTCCATTGCGGTGTCTAATCGTTTGTTCTCTGGAGAAATTCCTCCTAACATCCAACTTAAACCTCCCCCAGCACATCTGCCTCATGTACAGCTCTGTTGAGTTGGCATTGAGTCCCACTGATGCCTTTGTGCCTTTGTCTGTGTTCTCTGTCCCTGCTCTTTCTAACAGCCCCAACTCCATCCACACCGAGCACACCAAAACCGACAACCACTTCCACATCAACGGAGACTCCCACCACCACTACCAGCCCTCTGAGCACCACCACCACTGTTTCTGGATCAACAACAACCATCTCAACTCCTCAGAGTATGTTCCCACCAGTAGTAATTCTCACCAAAACCCCTATGCCCCCAGGAACAGAATCAACAAATAATTCTCTAGTTCTATTGTCATGTCTGGCCTTGCTTTGGGAGTAGTGAAGGTCCATGAAACACCTCCATATGTGTCTCTAGATGGGATCAGGGATGGGTATAACTTCTGGGAGTCCCAGGAAAAGTCCTGTGGCCAAATCTGGCCCTTGGGCTGGCTATTTCATAAGGAACAAGGATTTAGGGGGTTCTTGGGGGAAGGTCTTGTCTTTCCTGACTCAACAGTGCTTCAAGGAGGTATTTCATGTTGGTGCCCAGCTTAGATGCTGAATGAATGGGTAACATTGCTTTTGCAGCTGTTGGACCGTGTCCTTCAGCTGTCCAGAATGTAGTCACTGGACCCATGGAGTGCAATTGCAGAGGGACTTGGTCTTGTGGAAGTGCATTTCAGGCTCTGTTTGGGCTCAACCCTTTCTCCTCCTCCTATGCCCTCTCAGTGTTAGTGCTTGTCAGCTGTTTAACATGTAAGAAGGAATGATTCTCCTGCCAGCCCTTGAGGGAATATTTTCCCTCTGCAGAGTGCCTATTGCTGTGAACTTTTGGTCTGTGGCTGACACCTCACCTGGTGAGATCCACTAGTGCCCAGGGAAGCCCTTCATGAGTCTGACATTGAAATACAGGGGGAATCATATGCCAATCAGGCATGAACATACTCCTGGGCATGCTTTCCTTCCCAGCTTCCACTCTTATCTCCTATTTCATGAATTAGTGAGGTGTTCCAGTAATGAAGCAGAGATAGGAAGCTCCAGCCAGATCCAAAGCATTGCTTCTCCTCATCTCTTACCTATTGGTTGGTCTGTCTGATTTTGTGAGAAGCACCTTCCAGCACCATCTTGAATCTCTTCACTAGGAGAGGAAGGCCATGACCCTCTCTGTGCATGGATGTTGAGGATTCTGCTTTCTATGGCCAGAAAGGAAGGGCTGGTTCTGGGGATGATTGCTGTGCTAAGGGTCTCTCTAGCTCTGTGGCTTGCTGCCTCATGTGCAGCTTCTGTTGAGTTTCTGTTGAGTCCCACTGATGCCTTTGTGCCTTTGTCTGTTTTCTCTGTCCCTGCTGTTTCTAACAGCCCCACCCACGAAGACACCAAGCCCAACTACTCCACCGAGCCCAACTACTCCCACTCCAACAGCATCTGAAACTCCCATCATCACTTCCAGCACCACGATGCCCCCCAGCAGCACCACCAGCATCGGCACCCCCAAGACAACAACAACAACTGTTACTGGCTCATCAACAACATTCTCAACTACTTCAAGCACATCCACAGCCATATGGGAATATTCAACCACCCTATCAACTCCAGGTACTTCTGCCTTGCCTGATCTTGTATCCCCTTGCTTTGGGAGTAATGAAGATCTGTTAGCACCTCCATTTGTGCCTCAGTATGGAACTGGGGATGGCTGTAACTGCTGTGCATGCCATGAAATGTTCTTTGCCTGAAGCTGGAACTTGGGTTGGATGTTTCAGAAGTGATGAGAATTCAGGGTTCCTTGTGAGAATCTCTTGGCTTCCATTACTCAACAAGTATCTAAGAAGGTATTTCAGGCTGGCACTCCTGCTGGGCTTAGATGCTAACTTGATGGGGAACCTTGAGTTCTTGTCAGACCTTGTCCTTCATCTGTCAAGAATGTAGTCAGTGGACTTAAGGTGTGGAATTACAGTGGGGATTACTCTTGTGGTACTGCAATTTCAGATGCTTTCTGGGAAAAGTTTTGCAGACTTTATTCACTATCTTCTCTGCCTTTGCAATGTCAGCACTAGTGGATGCCAGTGTTTATAGATGTAGAAACCAAGGATTTCTGTGGCAGGCTTTTGGGAACAGTTTCACTCTGCAGACTGTCACTACCTCTGAAGTGTGGTCTTTGGCTGATGAGATTCACTAATCCTCTAGGAAGCCCTTGAGCGGGATGACATCCAATCAGTGGAACTCTTATGACAACGAGGCAGGAACATATTCCTGTGTGTGCTTCGTTCTTAAAGCACACATTCCCATCTCAGCTCTTGCCCTAGGATTTGGTGAGGTGTTCAGGTAATGAGGCAGAGATAGAAGGCCCCAGCGAGATCCAAAGCATTACTTCTCCTCGTCTCTTACTTGGTCTTTCTGATTTTGTGAGAAGCACCTTCCAGAACCACCCCCAGTCTCTTCACAAAGAAAGGAAGGACATGACCATCTCTGTGCATGGATGTCAAGGATTCTGCTTTCTTGGGCAAGAAATAGAGGGGCTGGTGCTAGATACCTTTCTTGTTCTAAGGATGGGCTGACTCCTCAATGTCTGGGGCAGCTGCTTCATGCGCAGCTTCTGTTCAGTTCACAATGAGTC